AAGATGCTTGCTCCTTGGAAGAAAACCTAGGACAAAACTAGACATCATATTAAAAAATGGAGACATCACTTTGCCCACAGAGGTCCGTGTAGTCAAAGCTATGGTTTTTCCAGTAGTCAAGTATGGATGTGAGAGTTGGACTATAAAGAAAGCTGAGCGCCAAAGAATTGATGCTTTTGAACTGTGGTGTTGGAGAAGACTCTNTTAGTTCTGAATGACAGCTTTTCTTGATAGAGTATTTTGTGTCAGCAATTTATTTCTTTCAATAATTTGTAAATATTGTTTCAGTCTTTCCAAGCCTCTAAGGTTTCTGCTGAGAAATCTGCTTTTAATCTAGTGGAGGTTTCTTTGCAGTCTTCAAACTTCTTCCTTCTTCTGCTTTTAAGATTCTCTCTTTGTGTTTGACTTTTACAATTTTATTATAATGTGTCTTGAGAAGATAATTTTTAATTAATATAATGAGTAATCTTTTACTTTCATGACTTGATTGCCCAGATCTCTCCCTGTGTTTGGAGAGTCTGCTGTAATTTTTTTTTTAATAAACTGTCTGACCCCCTTTCTGTCTCTTCTCCTCTGGAATGACAATGATTTTGATATCCTTTAGATGGTTCCCCATAGATCACATAGGATTTCTTCATTCTTTTTTATTAATAATTTTCTATTCAGTATTGTTATTTCAATGTTTCTCTTCTCTGTCTATTGATTATTTTCTTCAATTTGATCAGTTGATGATGCTCTCTATTTGTATCTTCTATCCATTGAATTCTTCAGAAATTTAGCTCCAGAATTTGTTTGCTTCATTTGTATGATCTATAATGTTAGTTAATTTTCTCTTTGAACTGTCTGGCTACTTCTTTTTGTAGCTCATTGAATTTCCTTAAAAGGGATTTTGGATACTTACTGAGGGAGTCTATAATTCAATGAGTAGGAACATAATCTCTTTAATAAATCTAGGAATCCAAAATGTCTCTGTACCTATCTGGTTCCCCACTAGTCATGCAATTCCCAGTTTAACACTCTGGAAGTTGTGTGAGAGAAACAAGCCTCTTGAGTAATGTCCTGCAGAGCTGGTGAAGCCACATGTTCACTCACCAGGTCTCCTTTCCCTCATGGGAAATTATGGCAACTTAGGTTACCCTTATGGTGTGCCACCTTGGGGGAGGTAAGATGCTGGCAAAGTCAAGATGTTCATTCTTCACACCCTAATGCATTCAAAATCATATATATATATATATATATATATATATATATATATATATATATATATATATATATACATGTACATGATATATATACATATACATATAAACACACATAGACACACATATATATTGTTTCAATGGAGTGTGGAACTTCTTGAGAAAGCTTACTTCCACAAAGATTCTCTTGTATGTAGGTGACATTCCCAGTCAGTGTTCCACAGGTCCTCCCCAAAACAAGGCCAAGAGGGGCCAGAACTCCTTTGCAGTCTCCTATAGGTCCCACAGCTGGTCTTGACATCTGTCTGCCTCTTGCCCCATACACCTGTGTATGAGATTCTTGGTAAGTTCCTTGGTACATGGAGCTGGATCCCACATCTTCATAGATGTGCTTCTATTCATGGGTGGATGATGAATATTTACTGCAAAATGGGGAAATAAAAGTGAAGGTGGCTTATCCCACCATGATACTGCAGTCACTATCCATTTTCAGATATTTGAAGCAATTCAGCCATTCTGTTTTGAGGCTTCTTCTTTGGCCTCTGCTGCTTACAATTTTGTTGTTCAGTCACAGTACTTGTCAAAACGTAACTTCTCAATGAATATTTTATCTGACATAGCACCTCTATTACTTTTTATACTAAATAGGCTTATATGGTTGACATGAGCAATATGGATTGAACTGTGCAGGGCCACTTTTATGAAGATTATTTTAATACATATATTGAAAAAATTCACATATTTGTGAGGATTTGAAAAACCTTGCAGATGAACCATGTAGCATACAAATATTGAAAACTTTAAGAAAAAGTATATCGAATGCATACAATACATGTATGTATTAGTCTAGTGTAGTATATTATTTACTACAATTAAATATGTATAAATCCAATATAGAAAGTTAAAATTTGTCAAAATGTATGCACATTTACGATTACTATTATTTAAATATTCAGAGCTTTTATGTAATTATTTGCTAATCTTCTGCCTCCTATCTTTTTCAATATAAAGGGCAATGGTTAATTCAGGATTTGCACTCTCAAAAACAATTACATTAAAATTTTTAAAACAATGTTAAGTATCTCAGCATAATTTTCCCTTTAATCATCAGTTAAAACATGGCCTCTTAAAAAAAAGAAAGAAAAAAAAATCATGGCCTCTTGTTTCAACTTTCTTCAAGGCTAGATTAATGACATTAATGAGTAGTACTGGTGTAAAGCACAGTGATCTTACAAAGTGCCATTATGACATTTGCAAAACATTTCACTACAGAAAGCTTAGTACATATTCAGATGTGGCAAAAGCAGATTAATATAATCACATGTAATCAAAATCCAGTTTTAATTAATATTGATTTGGACACATTTTGCTTCCTCTTGGGCAGGTTATCTCAATAGCAGTAGTATTGTTCTTTTTGGCTCAGATAATTTTTTCCTGTGGGGGCCTGTCCTGTGTATTGTAGGATATTTCTTAGCATCTCTGGCCTCTGCCCAATAGATGCCAGTAGCATGTCCTTCACACCCAGATTGGGACCAAAAAAAAAATGTCTTCAGATGTTGCCAGATATCCTCTTAGGGGCAAAACTACCCATAGTTGAGAACCACTGTTCTATACCCTCATGCACACTAAAGGCCAGGAGAAGAGCTAGCTCAGTTTTCTGAAACACTTGTGGTCCGTAATTCCTTGGATCCATCCTTGAAATGGTTTCATTTCATGTAAAGCTACATGACTGAGTTCATGATAAGCAAGAGCTGGATCTAACTGACCTCTCAACAGCATAGAGCCCTATAGCCTAAGTGGTCCGTAAACGCTGGGTGAAATTAATTTCCCATTTCCCATTGATTTCTGAAGTTCAGTTACCTACAAAGAAGTTTGAGATGTTAGCACCCAGGTCCTGTTTCCCATGAGGCAGGCACCTGATGAGGAAGGGGAAAAGCATGGATCTCTGGGGACCAATCTTCTCTCACTTGATCACCATGCCTTCTCCCTTGGTGTGTCTCAGTAACGTGAACTCAGGCTCAGTGGCCAGAGGTCTTAGTTCTTTATGGAAGATGTGGGAGGCAAGTCTAGTGTGCTCTTGCTTTTAATCAGGTCTAAGAGACCTACAGACTTAGTTTCAGCATTCCCAAGCCTAACACTGCCAGGGAAGCAGATTCTCCATCTGGTGACTCCTGAGATATGTGAGCTTTGGTTGAGAGCTTGGCTTTAATGTTTTCAGATTGAATAATTGGAAAACCTTCATGATCTGGTAGATGTTCTCAGGGCTTTATTTGCCCTCTGTGGTCAGAACATAAAAAAGAATTGTAGTAAGACAGCAAAGCCACAGAAACCCTGTGGTAAGTTTTGTTTTTGGACAATGTGTTGATTACAATTCCACTTTGAAAGCAAAGGGGATATTGCAAGATGCACATGGCAATTTACATAACGCTCTCATAAGTGTCTCCTGTGAGGTAGGTTTCGTCTCCATGATACAGTTTTGATATTGAGTCTCTGAGATGTTAAATAACTTTCTAGATATCACTAAGACATCACCAGTGGAAACTAGGATGTAAACTCAGGAGTCAAGACTGCCAGCAGTGCTTTTTTCCACAAGTGCCTTGGTAAAATTCCCAAGCCAATCTGAGAGTTTAGTAGTGGTCTCTGCCTTCTGTTGGTCTCTGCAGTCAGAAACTCTATCTGTGATTTCATCATGGTGGTGACTCACGGCAGTCCTTAATCATCTGAGCCTGTCCCCATTGCTCAAGGAAGGAAGCTTTGTGGCAAGAATGGATGTCATATGAATCCTAGTCTCAGATGTTCTGGAGTCTTTAACTGTAGGAGGGACTGTATTAGAACACACTGATCTCTGTCACCTTGGACAGATTTAACAAGGATGAAGACAGTCTGCTAATCAGCCAGTGAACACAATCTTGGTGACAGTTCGAGGTATTTTAAGGTTGGACATCTAATAAGAATGTGTCATAGGATGAGGGGGCAGTTTGAGTGGAGAGACGTGGTTTGTACTTTCATTGCCACTGAGGGACATATGATTGGGGGAAGAGAAGGCACTTACAAAGAGAAAAATTGTGGGTGGATTGAACTGGACCTTTTGAAAGGAACTAGGTCACCTAGGGAGCAGGTGTAAATGGATATAATTAGGAGAAGCAGAAATCAGAGGGGGTGCTGAGTGTCAAGGGAAATTTCTTCAGAAGGCTTTGAGGGGTATGTGGGAAAGTGAGAATCCTATTTTGCAAACCAAAAAGGAAACAGATCAAAAGGAAGTAAGATGAATGAAGTCTACAGGCAAAAGTCAAAAGCATCAGAGGCAATAGAGAGGCAATTATCATGGAGACAGCAACAGTATGTTTGGTGCCCTACATCATCCAGTGAGGCAATCAGTGGCCTAATAGGTTTCTCCCAGTTCAACCTCTCGTCCTCTGGTCCAACCTCTACCCACAAAGTGATTTTACTTTCCAGTTGACTAACATTCCTGATGATTCCCCATTTTCTGTTGAGTGAAACCCCAATGTCCATAATAGTATTTTATGAACTAGTACTAGGTTCTATCTCCAGCTCTTTGGCTGCCATTCTCCACTTTACTCCAGGCTCGGGTGAATTTTTAGTTTGCACTTCCTCTTCTGTTTTCTTGCAGTGCTCTTCTCTTCTACCTGACTGAGTCCTACTCATCTTTCAATATATAGCTCACAAGCTTCTCAGATATGTGATGGATTGTTATGTTAATTTCCCACTTATGTAGGAGTCTTTTTTATTGTGTCATTCCAGATTACCCTACCCAAAATATTGCTTCCTGTTGGTGACTTCATGGCTAGCATACACAATGTGACAGAATTTATCTTCTTGGGACTTTCTCCCAATCGGAAGGTGCAGAAAGTCTGCTTTGTGATATTTCTGCTCCTGTATATAGCCATTGTGCTGGGGAATCTCCTCATTGTCTTCACTGTCATGACCAGCAGAAGCCTTGGCTCCCCCATGTACTTCTTCCTGAGCTACCTGTCTTTTGTGGAGATCTGCTACGCCTCTACTACAACACCCAAGCTCATCTTAGGTCTGCTGGCTGAAAGGAAAGCCATATCTCTCTGGGGCTGCATGTTACAAGTTTTCTTTATCCACTTATTTGCTGGCACTGAGATTTTCCTGCTCTCTGTGATGGCCTATGACCGCTACGTGGCTATATTCAAGCCCCTCACCTACACCACCATCATGAACTGGCAGGTGTGTTCCTTCCTGGTGGGAATTGCATGGGTGGCGGCCTTTGTGCATTCCTTATCCCAAATCCTTCTCATCTTCCGCTTGCCCTTCTGTGGCCCCAATGTGATTGACCACTATTTCTGTGATGTGTTTCCTCTGCTCAATCTTGCTTGCTCTGACACCTTCCTCATTGGTCTTCTGATCATTGCCAATGGGGGGACTCTGTCTGTGATCAGCTTCATCGCCCTCTTAGCCTCCTATGTGGCCATTTTGCTCCATGTGAGGACTCAAACCCCCGAGGGTCGGCGCAAGGCCCTGTCCACCTGTGGGTCCCACATCACTGTGGTCACCTTATTCTTTGCACCCTGCATCTTCATCTATCTGAGACCTTCTACCACCTTGCCAGTGGACAAGATGGTAGCTGTGTTCTATACAGTGATCACCCCATTCCTCAACCCTGTCATCTATTCTCTGAGAAATGCTGAAGTGAAGAAGGCCATGAAGAGGCTGTGGATCAGAGCAATGAAAGTAGAAGAGAGATAGAGGCGGAGTCTTGGCCTTGATCCTTGTGTTTAAGTGATGCTCTGTCCAAACTGAAGGGGCAGAATGAGATGAAGTACAGTTCTCAGGACTAGCTAATTTTAAAGTTCCTCTTCATCAACTTCACTATAATCACTTACCATATATTTTCTCTTCGGTTCAGTTCAATTCAGTTCAGTTGCTCAGCAATGTCTGACTCTTTGCGACCCCATGAATCGCAGCACACCAGGCCTCCCTGTCCATCACCAACTCCCGAAGGTTGCTCAAACTCATGCCCATCGAGTCAGTGATGTACTTTTCTGTTAGATGTTTAAATTGTTTCTGAAATTTTATAATATAAATAACAATGTTCTAAGTTTCCTGACCAGAAATCTTTAATGATACTGATTTTTAAACAGTTATTTGCTATAGAAACCTTGCTTTGTTAAAAAGCGTAATAACTTTTGATGCGTGGTGCTAAATAAGTTCTTAATGTTTGTAACTCAACACTCATTAAATTTTTTCTTGATGAGATATAGGATTTTATACAGTCTCAACTCATCTCCCCACAAGAGATTTATTAATTGGAAAAGGATAAATATGACTTTATAATCAAGAATCCTGGAAGGCACTCTTTTTAGTAATTAGACACATTTATGATATTTAGACTGAGGCACACAGCATAATTGCTATAATATTCCTATCAAAAATATATAATGTTACTTTAATCATAAAATATCAGTTAAGCCTGCACTGAAGAATAGTTTGCAAGGAAAGAGATCAAGATGGTAGAGTAGGAGGATGCTGACTCACCTCCCTTCATGAATGTATGAAAACTACAACTACATATATAGTGACTCTCAGTGCAGTCAATCTGGGTACTGGCAGAATTCTCCTACAGCCAAAGCTGTGAAGAAAGACCCACGTGGAGTCTGCTGGTAAGGGAGGAGGAGCAGACCCATACTTCCAAGGGGGCACAGGAGAGGAGGGAGTGATACGGCGTCAGGAATCCTCCCTGGGGAGTGAGAATTTCTACCGACTCCTTAGGTACCCCAGCCCTTTGGTTCTGATACTGGTTTAGACAAGCCTCTTATGGAAAACCAGTGAGGATTACTGGAGGACTGTGAGAGACTGCCCTTGAAAACACCATACACACATACTTGCTTACCTCCAATCACAGCACAAAGGCAGCGGATTAAACGCTGCCTGTTGCTCTTGCTGGCCCACCAGGATCACCCCAGTGTCCCCAGGTCCTCACTGGGCTCCGCTTCCAGCCCCTCTTGCGCTGCTGCTTCTCCCCACTAAGGCAGGGGCTGCCATTTCCAGTGCAGGGGTGCACACTTGAGGGAACGAAGTCAGCTTGGACCCTGGCCCCACTTCCGACTGGGGGGAGGCAGCCATTGCCAGCACACGCTTTGGTGCACGTACTCGAGAGGGACCGAGGCTAGGTCCCGAGCGGCGAGAACCCCCGCCAGAGCGTCTGTCATTGTGCACACTCTCTGAAGGGAGAGAGGGAAGCTACAGGATAGAGACCTCCACCCCTGGGGCGTGCATCCCCTGGGCACGCTTGGGAGGGGGTGGAATGAGCCCAGTGGTGTGGCACCCACCGCTCAGACCCCAGCCCGTCCTGTAACCAAGCTCCACACGTGTGTGCGTGCCAAGTCACTCCGGCTGTGTCCACCTCTATGTGATCCCGTGGACTGCATTAGCCCACTGGCTTCTCTGTCCGTGGCATTCTCCAAGCAAGAATACTAGAGTGGGTTGCCATGCCCTTCTCCAGGGGATCTCCCTGACCCAGGGATTGAAACTGTGTCTCTTATCTGTTGCATTGGCAGGCGGCATCTCTACCATCAGCACCACCTGGGAAGTGCGGCTGCAAGGCTTCACACCCCAGCCAGCTCCCAAACCAGGGTGGAGACTGCCATCAAGCCTGGGAGAAGCCCGCTGCTCTCAGGGCTCCTGGTTCACCTCCCTGGGCCAGAGTCCACCTCCACAGGGCGGTGACGGCCACTGCACACAGGGGAAGCTCCCCCCAAGCCACGGGGCACACGCAGACTGCACAGGGCTGCCTCCTCAGAAGGACATGCCTTCAAGGCCCGCATAGGTGACAGCTTCACAATTTCAAAGAGAAAGTTAAACAAAATGAGAAGACAAAGGTATAGGTTTCAAATGAAAGAACAAGAAAATAATCCATGAAAAAACCTGAGTGAAACAGAGAAATAATTTACCTGATAAAGAGTTTGAATCAATCGTAACTGAACTTGGGAAAAGAACAGTTGAACACAGTGAGAATTTTAACAAAGATTAAGGAAGTATAAAAAGGAACCAGTCAGAGCTGAAGAATAACAATAAATGACATAAAAACTACACTAAAGGGAATTAACAGCAGATTAGATGATTCAGAAGAATGTATAAATGATCTGGTAGATAGAATAATAGAAAACACTCAACCAGAACAGCAAAAAGAAAGACAAATTTAGAAAAACAAGAATAATTTTTGGAACACTGTGACAACATCAAGCATCCCAACATTCGCATTTTAGGAGTCCCAGAAGGATAAAAGAGAGAAAAATGTATTCAATACTTTGAGTTCCCAGAGCACTTAGCTAGAATCTTTTCAAGCCTTTGCTACCTAAATTTCAGCGTGTATTTTTCTTACCCCTCCAGCCCCGACTCTGACCCTAGACTTTAACTCTTGGGTATATGGCAAGAGTCTTACTCATTTTTATACCTTGCTCTTAATGATATACAGTAAAACTTAATAAATATATGGTCTATTAAATTTCCAGAAGTCAGTAGTGCTTCAGATTGTAAGTGAACAGTGGTTGTTACATCTGTATTTTCACCTCAACTATCTAATTAATAAACCGGTATTATACTGCTTGAGACAAATCAATAATCACTGCTTAATTTTTTCTGAGAATAACATACATTGGCTGGAGAATCCAAAGGATAGAGGATCCTGGCGGGCTACAGTCATAGCGTCGCAGAGTCAGACATGACTGAAGTCATCTAGCACACACAGAAGTTATATGTGTATATGAAAAGAGCATGTATTATGTATATATTTTAGTGTCATCCAAGGTATTTCATATATTTTATCTCCATTTCATCCTAAAATGCTCTGGTGATGTAGGTGTGAGTCTCCTGCTTTATAGATAAAGACGCTGAGGCTTTGGGAGGTAGGTGCCTTGATCCAGGTCATAGTGTTAGGTCCCCGAAAGGCTGAATTCAAACCCAGGACTGTCTGATTTCTGAGCTGTTGCTCTCTCTGTGTTTTCCTCTGCTGCTTTTTAAAGATCACAGAACACAAACACATATAAGTCTCTCAATTTCAAAACTGAGGTTTCATAATCTCTGTTATTGTCAGGTGTTTTTTTCTGTGAAATCACTTCAACGTAAATGAAAAGTGTTTCTTCAAAATATAGCCTGAACTGCCTTATGATGTTCACATATGTTCCTGGGTCCACAGAAACCAGGGCTTGAGACGCCATATCTGGAAACAGTGAGTTAAGAACCAGGGAAGCATGGTGCTCCTCTCAGCTCAGCCTCTAGTTCTCGTGAAAGTGAAAGCTGATCACTGAGTTGCAAGAGTTAGCTAATATATAGGATCAAACGCCTTATGTCGGCCAAGAAGAATTTTTCAAATGCTGAAAAAGGGAGCATTCTTGAGAGTGACATACATTTCAGAAAATGGGAAATAGAAGTCAAAGACTAGTATGAGTTGCGTATCCCCTAATCAGTTTCCTAAAATTAGGTTTGAAGGGCGCTGCCCCAGGGGGACAACGCTCACTTTGCAGTTGAGGAAACTGCAGGCCAAGGACTCTTCTAAAGCCCCGGTTATTTTTCTGAACCAGATGTTTGGGAACCATGAGTTAGAACCCAGAATTCTTCAAGCACCTCAGGGATTGGTGAAGAAGAAGCTCAGGAGAAGACAAGATGCAGGCAAACAGGTACTTGTATGGCTTCAATTAAGGCAGCAGATCATCTTATTTCTTTTTGAAAAATAAGCTTTACATGTAAGATTTATGTTCATAAAACATAGTCAGATCCTTTAAGAAACTTTAAAAACCATTGTAAAATATTCTGTCTACATGTCTTTCTTGATTTGTTCATAGTCAGGTTCTGCAGCTTGGTTATAGAGTGACAGGCTTTAGGAAACGGCCTCCATTCTGAGCAGGGNAGCTTGGTTATAGAGTGACAGGCTTTAGGAAACGGCCTCCATTCTGAGCAGGGAGAGCAGAGCCACGCCTTCTTTTTTGATCTGAGAGAACAGCATTGAAACATGTATATTATCAAGTGTGAAACAGATCGCCAGCCCAGGTTGGATGCATGAGACAAGTGCGCAGGGCCGGTGCCCTACGATGACCCAGAGGGATGGGATGGGGAGGGAGGTGGGAGGGGAGCTCAGGATGGGGAACACATGTAAATCCATGGCTGACTCATGTCAATGTATGGCAAAAACCACTACAATATTGTAAAGTAATTAGCCTCCAACTAGTATAAAAAAAAAAAAGAGAGAGAGAAAAAACCCCTAAATCATTTGTTTTAAGGCTTTTTGAAACACTTTATTTCATACTGGAGCATATCTGACTTAACACTGGTGTGATAGGTGGACACGGAAGGGAGGCAGCCATGCATATACAAGTGTCCATTCTCCCCCAGACTCCCCTCCCATCCAGGCTGCCCCATAACACTGAACGTCTCTGTGCTCTACAATAAGTCCTTGTTCCTTCTAAAGTCCAAGTTCAGAGAATCAGGGCAAGAGCTTCCTTAGTGAGAGTGAAGGCATGCCTCAGAAAAGATGGTGTGCCCNCTCAGAAAACGTAGCATGCCAAATGAGGGTGAACTCTCCTGAACATGCAGTTTTGACTCAAACTGCTCTGAAATTGCCTCATCTCTTAGGATCATGTTACTATTGAGTCTTTCTATTATGACTGCAGACCGTGTCATGGGACTCGTAGCATTCAGTCATCTTCATAATCCTTTATCATTATTATTTTTTTCACTTTGTGAACTGTATA